TTTACGACAGTGCACTTTTACTTTCGCCCTCTGGGGGGAGCCTCGCTGGAAAATCAACACCGGTTGCATAGTGTACCTTTAACATTTCTATATCTGTAGAATGGGTCTGTTCTATGTGTTGTCTTCTCAATTGATGATCTCAATTAATGATAAAATGCAAAAGATGAGACATTTTTTTATCAGATGCATCATGTTGATATATTTGTAAACACAGTTTAGTGAGTCGGTCAGTTAGAAACAACTCCTGTATCAGTCACATGACTTTCTTGAATTGACATGCACGCTGATGCAGTGTTTTCCTCTATGGGCTCCATGCATGCACCGAAACATCGAGCTTACTGGACCCATCGCTAGTTCTAACCCTTATTTCAGTTTTTTTTTTAAATAAAGCTTTCCAAAAATATCAAAATTTTGCTTTAAAATCCACTAAGAATAGTTCATATGTAGTTTTAAAACTAAAAACTATGAAGGTGTGACTCCTACCTTAATGTTCCTTTGTGCTCTCCCAGGAGGAACTCCTCCAACAAAGAGGAAGTCACTGACTTTCCAGACAACATTGTCTGCCTGAGCTCTGTCTTCAAACACCGTGTGTCTGTCCATCACTAGCCGCCCCGTCTTCCCATCCCGGATGCAAGCAACCTGTAGCCCAGAGACCAGCTGATCAGCTTAAAACACCAGGAAGTTCACATATGCCGGCAGAATCTTAGGATCCAGACTAGTTCAACTCACACTGTGCCAGACGCCATCGTCGTATCTCTTCTCTGTCCGAATTTGAACCTTCTGGTCTCCTACATTGAAACTAAACACAAGCTTTCCCTCCACCAGGAAAAGAGCCATGAAGTTGTCCTCTTGCTCATCGGATACATAGAAGATGAGGCCTGAGGCAGATTGGATCTTTAGGGACAGGGACAAGTGGCACCTGGAAGATAAAAGCAAAGCGTAGATTTATACAGCGAGCTTTGACCGGACCACTGACTATGAGAAGGTTCTGTGCCTGACCCACCTCTCAGGAAGAGAAGCAGGGACACCTGCGTAGTGCTGCCTGCTGTTGGCAACTCCGCCATAGCTGAAGGCCTGGTGTGTTGATCTAGGACTTGGGGAGAGGTAGCAAGACTGGATGCTGGGCTCTGGTGACTTTTGATCAGAGCTGGTCGGCTCCAGAAGATGACTGGACTTATCTCTGGCAACCTGTGGAAAGCACCGCTACTTAACATCTGGAAGCGCTCAAAAAGAACTGATCTTTCCAAGGTTGTGGTAGAGCTATAGTTTCTTGGTATGACCCAACCGTGTTTGTTGTACCTTCTGGCTCTGTTTGGCTTTAGACGTTGCACGGTGTGGTGACATCAGCGCAGCAGGAGGCTGCTGTGCCGGACAGTCCTGCAGAGAAACGTTCACCTTCTCTGTGTACTTCTGGAAGTCCTCCGCCTCAATGTCTCGGTCTTGTCTACAGCGTGACAGGGGAAGAACTGATCAGCATGACCAGCGGAAACATCACCTTGGAAACAGAACAAGGCCTCTGGAACAGAATGGAAGGTGTCTTGTTGGGGGATTCACCTGTTGATGTACGCATGGCTGATGCAGCCGGTGAAGTTCCTCAGGCTGCTGCTTGGAGACCCGCCGTAGTAGAAGGTCTTTACGGGAGAATCTGAGGAGGACTTCATGGCAGACGCCGGACGCTTTTTCTCCTGCTTGTCTTTGTCATCCAGCAACAGTGAATACCTGAAGCGAACCAGAATGAAGAAGTTACACACAGTGGTGCCAAAACTTAGAGTCTCCATCAATCTCACAAGAGATTGCTGCCCTCTGAATCATGACCTAATATTTGACAACAGAGGCTTCAGAGGCTGTCTGCTTTTTATTAAAATCGAACGCCAACAGACAGACCCTAATGGAGTAGATTTATTCACAGCCATCTGTCAGCTGCTGTTGGGGCTCAAACTGGTAGAATTCTCTTAGAACAAAATCAAGACACTGCAGACGATTAACTTCACCTGTTCGCCTCCAGAGTTGGCTGCTGAACCCACGGGTAAGAAATGAATGAACAGACTTTAAAAAACCTGCTCTGGGTTTTGTAAAAAAAATCATATCACAGCTGCCCACTGTGCTGTTAATACTTCCTTAGGCTTACAGAATTTAGTCCCGCTGACAGTAAATTTTTTTAAAAGGGGTTTGTGCGTGACTCTTTTCAATATTTCAATGGAATAAAAATCACTTTAGTCATTAATAGGCACAAATTCATTAATTTTTGAGAAAAAATGTCAAAAAGTCCTCACCCTGGTGAGTAATTACTTCTAGCAGATAGTGACAGAGTCCATAAAATATTTTCAGTCTCAAAATGATCAAATAAACATGAACAAGGACCATTTGTTGTAGACTGCTTTATTCTAGCATGTCAGAGGGAAACACTCACCTCTCCTTGTTCACTGAGGCCAGTAAGAAGTGAGTCCTCCCATCATTGTATTGCTTCTTCTGTAATTTGACCTTCACTCCTCGGTTGTTCAGTACTACTGCTCCATTCTCCAGGGCGATGCTGAACTCCTCTGGCTAAGGAGGAACATCGTCTGATCAGTCAGCCAGCAGAAATTATTACTGCAATACTGATCAGGTCGGCATTTAGCACATTTCCTTTCAACAAGTTGTTATCGACTCAATTAGTTTTTCATATTTTCTTTTCTGATATATATATATATATATATATAGCTGCCATGACTTATATTTCTAAATCCTCTCCCGCTATTGTGGTATTGAGGGATGTATTCAGTTTTAGTACACACCAATAATCTCGTTATCATGAGAAAATGGCTTTTGTTATCTTTAGAAAATGACAGTACATTCTCATA